AAGGAAGGAAGGAAGGAAGGAAGGAAGGAAGGAAGGAAGGAAGGAAGGTAGGAAGGAAGGGAGGGAGGGAGGGAGGGAGGGAAGAAGAGTTCCTACAATATCCTATGTAGGCAGTGGACAACCTAGTGATTTTGTGAAAAAGTAACACTTCTGAGAAAGGTTTGTTTTTGCTTCTGTTTCAGGCCAAAATTTCTTCTGCTGCTAAGGTACAACATATGCAAATGGAGAATAAAAATAATTTTCCAAGTGGTAGATGATCTAATGTCAATTCTAGTCTTCCTGTGCCTCATGGGTAGAGCTTTCAGTGGGGCCATATAAAGTTACAAGTACCATCAATGAATAAAACACTATACCAGGATTCTTTAAGTAATCATTCTAAGTGAGAGGCAAAGTAAATGGCCTATAGTAAACTGGGAATTAAATGCTGTACTTACAGTTTTCCATGCACAACAGACAAACGAGCAAAGGAAACAAGAGCACTCTTACTTTTAAAGCGTATTTTTGATTGAACACAATAAGCATGAAAATACTGTCTTTGTTTTTACACAGGCCCTATTACAAGCAAATACAACAATGGTATTTCATGTAAGACTGTCAAATAAAACACAATCTTAACTTTCTTACAAGTGCATGCTTTTGTCATATGATTTTGCCAGTTTGCAGAAAATCTCTTCCTAAACTGTGGGATGGAAGATGACTTTATGTCACCCAATCCACAGTGCAAAAAAGAAATATTCTCTATAAAATATTTCAGTTGTAGTTTAGCAAGATGGCTCCTATCTCTCAAATTTTCATTTCACTGAATATTGTTTTTCTTGTTTTGTTTTCAAAGCAATTTCAAGTTTTAACCATAAATAAAATTATTACCAAGAACTAGGTTTTGTTTGTTTCTGAGCAGTGTGATGTAGGGAGAGCCACGTGGGGACATCCCAACCTGTGAGGGTGGGGATGCTTCCTGGAGGTAAGGTCAGGGAAGCCCGCTAAGCACCTGAATAACAGGGAAGTTGAGATTGAAAGTTGCTTTCCAAGAGGAAGGCTTTCTAAGCCACCTTGGAAAAAGCACCTGTCCATGATGTGCAATTCAAAAGCCCTTGACAGGATACCAGGTAGGAAAGAAATTCACCCTTAAGAAATATTTTGAGATACTAATGTTGCTCCAAGAAACAGCGGCAGAACCAGTTTCAGTTCTAATATGTAAGGAGCTCTAAAAACATCATTCCATTCCCTAGAGGCGCAACAAAAGCTGACAAACTAAAAATCAGTAACTTTTCTTGGACGCATCAGAGAATCGAAATCTCAGGACAGACACACTACCACCCTGAGATCTAGAGGAAAAAGTTAACTCAGGGTCATAGTCAAGATCTCCTCACCTGGAATAGAGGCCACTGGAGCCGTAAGCTGGTCGGAGCGATGGTTTTGATGAATTGTTGGAGGCTGAGCGTGGGCTTATGTGAAAGTGAGAAACTTCTGGGGGTAGCAGTCTTCAGGGGATTCCCATACTTTCATGGAATTTCTGTTCAAGAACCCACTGGGTTCCCATGGTAAAGATGCCAGAAAGAGCTCCTCATGGTTCTAGGACAGGAAGGAGGACAGTAATTCTCATTAATGCCACCATTAGCAGTCTCTCTAACCTAGACCTACAATCCTGGGACAGACTTTACCAGAATCTTGTCCCAGAGCCTTGATTGGTCATTCCTTTCACTCTAGCCCCCTCCAGCCTTCCTGTGTCACATTGGAGGGGCAGGGGGAACTATCCAAGAATACAATATTATGAAGGTCATAGGCCAGAGACACAAGCCCACTGACAGCCCGAGGACACCTGGGCAGTTATAGAAGCCGCCTTCTCCAGAAGCTTAACGCCAACAGAGCGCAAGTATAACAATAGCAGAGCACAGCTGAAAAGTTACAAGAAACAGGCTCACTCTGAGGAAGAGTGGAGAAGTATTTACCTCAGTCCTATTAATTATCCCATGCAATAATGCCTGGTTTCCAACAAAAATCACAAGGCACACCAAATATAGCAGGGCTTAATCAATGAATGGGAGAGAAGAGACAAACACCCTGTGCAGAAGAATCCAAATACTGTGTGTAGGCACTCTGCCCTCAAGAAAGTAGATTATGACTTCCCCTATTCCATAAACGTGGACAGTGCCTAGTGACTTTCTTCCAAAGAGTACAGTATCAAAGGGGGGGTCGGTGGGTGGAGTAACTTTACAGTGCAGAAAGCTGACAAAGACCATCTCAATCCAGATGATCAAGGTAAAAGACCATGATAAGTCACACTGATAGTATGTACCCTTAATATAATGTGATAAGAAAGGTAATATAATTCAGTGATACCATAGGTGAATTAACCTAGTGTAATCAGGAGAAAACCACCAGGCAAATCCTTACTGAGAAACATTCTACAAGATTCCTGACCAGCAATGCTCAGAAGTGTCAAGGTCACCTTCAACAAGGAAATTCTGCGAGACTGCCACTCCCAGGAGGAGCCTATGGACACATGACTGTCAAATGTGATGCATTATCCTAGATTTGATCTCAGAACAGAAAAAAATAGCATTGCGGGAAAAAAAGAAAATCCTAATAAATTCTGGACTCTAGTTAATAATAATGTATCGATGTCAGCTTATTAATTGTCACAAGTGTACCAAACCAATCTAAGGCATTAGTAATAGTTAGATCCGGGAATGAGGTACATGAGGGGTCTCTGATCTAGCTTCATAATAATTCTGCAAATCAAAACCATTCTAATTATTTTTAAATTATATTTAAGAAAAAAATGGCAGATTCTGAAAAAAAAAGTATGATTGAGTTCAGTGCACTATAGATTATTTTCTCATTTATCCCAAGGGCTTTTGCAGAACTCCTTTGGGACAGATTAAATAGGGCTCTGACACTGTTAAAGCCTTTAGGAAAAAAGGCTCTTTTATACTTTAGAAAAGTATGATATGCTTTTTCTCCTGCCTGCTAATTCAGTCAGGTGACTGATGGCACAGAACAGAAAAGCAGTTATGACAGAATCAACCACAGGAGAACCAAACATATTAGCACATGACATCAAAGATGTCTGATGAGGTTACCAGCAATCAAAGATGAAATGATGGATGTTAACATGTTGAAAAAGCATGTGTGGTCCCTGACCATCTAGAGTACACATTAGAAATCCAATATGGATCATTTGGGAGTTAACTTGGATTTCCTCTATGGTTACTGTTATCATGATGCTATTATACCCCTGGCTGATAGAGCTTGAAGAAATTTGGATTGCAGACTAAAGATTAATGTAATAGGGAAAGACAAAAACAGTACCAAAACCCCAACAGCATACTCAAAATATTGCAAAGGGAAACCCCCTATTTATTACTATTATTGAATTTATTGGGGGTAATATTGGTTAATAACACATAAGTTTCAGCTGTACAACTACGTAACACAGCATCTGTATATTCTAGTACATGCTCATCACCGGAAGTCCAATCTCCTTCTGTCACCTTGTCTTTGACCCCTTTCCCCTATATTTTTTTTTATTCAAAGGCTACATCAAGTAACACAAATACAATTACATAAACTTCAATGAAGTCAAAGAAAAAAAATCTGTGTTCAACATAGCATCAGTGCCACCCCATTCAGGGTCCCTGTGGCACTGTACAGAGAAATCAGGAACTCTATATCCCCACACATATGAGGTAGTGCTGGGATTGGGTCAGACAACGGGAGACACTCATGCCAGATTTAGCAGGTGAAAGGGGAGGTCAGTTGTGGGGCAGTGGAGAAAGATCTCCCGCAGAAGGGGGACCTCGAGATTCACACGTGCTAGTGTGAGCAGTGAAGAATGGAAGGGAGAGCTCTCGCTGAGAATGCTGAGGTCACCACCACGTTGGGGACAGGTCAGGGCGATGGCCTCCTCAACAGCTAACAATATCCCGATGAGACTGATGCCATTTACTGTGGCTTCTGCTTAGTTGTCTGTGAATCCGCTCCTTTTAGGAATTTCTTCCTGACCTTCTTCACCTAACTCTTGGAACAATGGTTGGGTAAGCCTAAAATGACCTGTATCAAGCCCTTTCTTCTCAGAAACCTTAGACTGGAAATTGTTGTCCTGACGGAAACATGTCTTTTCACCTGAATGGAGGGCACCAAGGTCCATATTAAAATGATGTAAACTTCTAAAATCACTCTTGTAGGGTTTGTGAGAAATGCATGCTAACTGATTTGTGGCTTTTCCTAAGTTAAATCAGAATAATGAATTTAATATTTCTGGGCCCTCATGTCCTCACTTCTCAAATGAGAGCATGGGCCAAGAATCGTTCTAGTTCTGTCACTCTACAAGTCCAGGACATTAAGATTCATTTGATTAGAGAGTAGATGACAAAGACTCATATTCCACATTATAAATATTGTTGGTGTGCTAAGTTTAACAGAACGGGTGATTTGTTTTGACATAATAAATCACCTTTGCCTTCTAAAATTAGCAATTTTTTTTAGTAAAGTATAACATATAATGGACACATTCTTTCCTGACATATCAAATCCTTTGTATTCCTTATGTATATGATAAATTCTGATGATTTCATTTTTGCTGCCATTACATTGGCAACAAACATCTAAGCTGACTTTTTAGGCTATTAAATGACTAATCAAATTTCCATTTTAATGTTGTCTCTTGATGCTGCTAAATCCTAGAAAGTTTAACGCTCTATAATATTTGATCACATTCCAAATGTAAGGCACTCTTCAATTGTCTCTTGTGTCTGCTGTAACAAATCACCATAAATTTGGTGACTTAAAACAACACACACTTATTATCTTACAGTTCTATAGGTCAGGAGTCTGAAATAGGTTTTACTGGGCAGAAATCGAAGTGTTGGCAGGGCTGCACTCCCCACTGAGGCTCTAGGGGACAGTATGTGTCATGGCTTTTCTAGCTTCTGGAGCCAGTAGGGTGGCCTCATACCTGGGTGGTTTCATTGTCTCACCTGTCCTCTGATGTCAAGTCCCCCTCTGCCATCCTTCCAATAAGGTCACTTGGCCCTACTCTGATAATCCAATAAAATCTCCTCATCACAAGATCTTTAACACACAGATCTGCAAACATATCTGCAACAAGCAACCTTGCCGACTGTTTGCCTACAGTTTTGTCATCTAAGGTCTTTGACATTCATAGTCTCTGATGGTTTGGACCTGGATATCGTTGGGAACCATTACTCATCATAATACCCCAACCTTAACATTTACAATTGAAAGCTGCCTAATACTACTGTTCCTCGGGCTAAACTTCTCACTCTTCCTAGAGCAAACAATAAAAAAATTATGGCGCATGCGCGCGCGCGCACACACACACACACACACACACACACACACACACACACACACACACGGCCAATAAAGTAGATAGACTGACAAACTTAAAACCCAAAAGTGTTCATTTAACTCAAGCAACGGCAGAGAAAGAAGGAGAAGAGAATACAGAGCAGAGGCAATAATTTTTAAAATATGTAGAAAGAATAAATAAGTTTTAAACCCCCAAATTAAACTAAATTATATGTAACTGGTACATATACAATCCAATTAAAAGGAAAATCTGAAATTGTTAGAATAAAAAAAAAAGCAATACACAACTACATGCTTCCAGGTGATGCATTTTAAAGACTCGAAAAGCTTAAAAGTAAAAGCATGAAAAAAAACATAGAGCAAGTAAACGCTAAACTCACAAAGTTAATATAATTCCATTAGCGTCAGAAAAAGTAGTTCAGGACAAGAAGTATTACCAGAGTTAAGAGGGTTGCTTCAAAAAGATAAAACGGTCAACTGAAAATTCCCAAACTTGTGCTAAGTAACAGCTTCACAATTCATGAAAGCAAAATAGACAGCACTGAAGTTAAAAAAATGATTAGTCTACAATCACAGTGGAGCATTTAACATCCATTGCTTAGTAACAGATAAGGCAAGTATAAAATTATAATGATGTAGAAGATGTGAATAATACAATCAACTAGATTAATCGAATTAATATTTATAGAGCATGACACAGGTATAAGAAATGCCAAGCTATAAAACAAACTATTGTAAATTTAAAAATGTGAAATCCTACAGAGCATCTGCTATAATCCCAAGAAAATTATCTTAGAAAGCAAAAAGAAAGCTAGTGACCCCCCCAAAAAATATTTGGAAATTAAACAACATATTACATATATAGCTTTAATGGTTAAATAATAAATCACATGGGGAAATGGAAACTATTTCCAACTAAATAAGAGTAAAGCACAATATATCAAAAATAGTAGCGATGAAACTAAATCCTTGCTTAGAGGGAAATGTATATTTTTAAAAGCTTATATTATAAAGGAAGAATGTCTTAAAATCTAGAAGCCAAGTTTTCAATTTAAGAAGCTATAAAGGGAAACTAAAGAAGCTACATTAAGAAAGGTATAAGTAGGGCTGGCCGAGTGGCTCAGTTGGTTAAGAGCTCACTCAAGAGTTTGAGCTCTGAGCAACAGCGGTTCAAGTCCCGGCCCGAGCTGAGCAGCCGCTGAGCTGCCAATAGGTGGCAGGATGGCTCAGCTAA